ACATTTTACAACTACAACTGATATTGAGATTTGATGAATTAAAAGGCAACGGTATTCCTCTCATCTCCATTTCCACACTTCTGCACCAGATATTTGCTAATGGCTCCTTCAACATTGATCTTTATCCCGGCATAGTTGTAGCATTCTAAAAGCTCTTCTGAATGGTAATTGTGTAAAGCCTTTTACACTGTTCTTCTATGGGGTCTTTTTTGTGCAAAACAACTTGCAAGTTAAACGAGTTAAAATCCTCCTTTCTTTCCTCTTCACAGCATTGTTCTAGTGCTTTCTCAAAGCGCACAACAAATTCATTGATGGCTGTTTGGGCGGTCAAAAGAGAACTGAAATATGATTTTAATGCCAGCAACGAATGTGCCTTTGATGCACAATGGAACCCAACTTTTACGCTTTCTATACATTTCCTTTAACCAAGCATCCTCTCTCAAGTTATATGTGTTAACAAGCATATCCCAGGCAGAATCAAATTCACTGGCCGTCTGGCTCTGAAATATGCAGCATCCATGGAGAGTAACGCGCCCAAGCTTTAATATTGGACAAATAACCTGGTCAAGCTTTAATATTGGACAAATAACCTTTGACCCATTTTAAAAAGAAAAGAAAAATTCAAAATATTTTAATTGGTAAAATAACAAAATTGCCCTTCACTTTTTAACTCCAAAATCTACAAATTTGCCTCATTTCTCTCGTTATTCTCCACTGTAAAAGCCTTCTTCTCCATTTGAAATCTTCTTCTTCTCTATTTGAAATTAAAGTCTTCTTCTTCTCCTCATTTACATCTCATCAACTTCACTACAATACCCACTAAAATCGACTACAAATTTGCGAAAAAACAAAAATTACTCTCCTTACTACTATGACGGTGGAAGCGAATGCAATAGGAGTAAGTTTTCTCTACCTTCTTTCTGCAATAATTTGTACAGTGTTCTTCATATGATATACATCATGGAAAATACGTTCGCATTATCTTTATGGTTCCTGTGAGCATTTCACTACCCTCCAGTAGACTTTTTTCAATTAGTTCTAGCACTGTCATGCTTATTCATTTATGAAAGTTTCGAGAACATTATAATGTTCTACTTGGAGGAATGGATTGCTCTATTGCAGCATCTATCAGTAGTGTAGTGTATTTTATTAAGGTCTGGGTTTAGCAATTTGTAAAAATGGCTGTATTTAGCTTTCCTTGGGGCATTGTATTGGACTATTGTTCTACTAATTTTAAGTTTACAGGGAAGTAAAGCTTTGATTTG